CTTACTAAAGTCCATTTTATTGGTAGAGGACAAGACTGAAGAGTACTTTTAAGTTCAGTTTTAATCGATTCACCAACAAATTTAATCATTGTATATGGACATTTGTTACAAGAATTTACATGTCTTTTAAAATGACCAACAACATTTCTTTTACAGAAATTACAAGTCTTATGAGTTTGTAATATATGAGATTTTAGAGCTATGTTACTATCACAGATTAAATCACATAGTTTACATACCTTCATTTGATGTATCAATTTGTAATGGCGAATAAGGTTGCTTTTTTTGGAGAGCGATGCAAAACAATGTTGACATGTGGTCTTCATTTTTATATATGAAATTAAAAAGTAGGTTGGCATCTTCTATATAGTTGAAATTACATTTTTACAATTTAAATTAATGAGAAGTAATAATTCAAATCATAATTCTAAATTTTAATATTCAAAACAATTTTATACAATAATATTTGGCAATTAAAAATTTTCTAAATCAAAACTAAATTCCAAATCTTAAATAAAAACTCTTTTTAGCAGAATGCTAAATCTACATTTATACAGAGTTAGTGTTAGTTATATAGAGAAGACTACCTATGAAAAAATTATATAGAGATTGAGATTCGGCTAAGTTTTGAAAAAATAACTTGTATATATTTTTGACTCAAAGTCCCCAGTGATTGAGATTTAGCTAAGTTTTAAAAAAATAACTTGTATATATTTTTGACTCAAAGTCCCCAGTGATTGGGATTCGGCTAAGTTTTAAAAAAATAACTTGTATATATTTTTGACTCAAAGTCCCCAGTGATTGAGATTCGGCTAAGTTTTAAAAAAATAACTTGTATATATTTTTGACTCAAAGTCCCCAGTGATTGGGATTCGGCTAAGTCTACAAAAATAACTTGTACACACTTTTAACTCAAAGTCCCCAGTGATTGAGATTCGGCTAAGTTTTAAAAAAATAACTTGTATATATTTTTGACTCAAAGTCCCCAGTGATTGAGATTCGGCTAAGTTTTAAAAAAATAACTTGTATATATTTTTGACTCAAAGTCCCCAGTGATTGAGATTCGGAAGTTTTAAAAAAAATAACTTGTACACACTTTTGACTCAAAGTCCCCAATGATTGAGATTCGGCTAAGTTTTAAAAAAATAACTTATATACACTTTTGACTCAAAGTCCCCAGTGATTGGGATTCGGCTAAGTTTTGAAAAAATAACTTGTACACACTTTTGACTCACTTAAAAATAGTAATAACAAAATAAGTTACTTTTTTGGATAGAGAAGCAGCACACAGTTGGCATGTAACTAAAAAAAACAATTGGTGGAAATTACATTTTAGACAATTTCAATTAATGGGAAATAATAATTTAAATCAGAATTTTAAATTTTAATATTCAAAACAATTTCATACAATAAGATTTGGCAATTGTAATTTTCTAAATCAAAACTATATCCAAAATCTGAAATAAAAATACTTTTTAGCAATTGAGAATGCTGAGTCTACATATATACAGAGTGAGTGTTAGTTATAGAGAAGACTATGTTACCTATGACAAAATTATATAGTGAGTATAATTAGGCTAAGTTTTTAAATAATAACTTGTACACACTTTTGACTCAAAGTCCCCCGGTGCGTGAAGTTTGGCTAAGTTTTTAAATAATAACTTGTGCAAACGTTTGACTCAAAGTCCCCCCCATGAGTATAATTCGGCTAAGTTTTTAAATAATAACTTGTACACACTTTTGACTCAAAGTCCCCCGGTGCGTGAAGTTTGGCTAAGTTTTTAAATAATAACTTGTATGTACATTTTAAGTCCCTTAGTACATATTAAAAAATACTCTAAGTGTTTGAAAATAGACTTATATACATTTTTTACAAGTTCCTTAGTGACAGAATTCGGCTATGTTTTTAAAAATGGACTCGGGAAATTAGCTACACTCCTAAGTTAAAAGAAATACAGAGTATGAGTACAAGCATCAGTTACATCACCAATTGATCCCATGACCCGACACGCGACAACATATTACAATAGTCTAGCTTAGATGTCAAAGACTTACCATAACAAGAAGATCCAGGTGGAAGAGTGAGTGATGATTCCGTAGAATGCCCCCCTTATATACCACAAAATTGTCTAAATTAATTTAGAATTAATTGGAATGGAAATTGAACAAACTGAAATTGAACAATTGAATAATTGAGGTCAATCAATCAAACATATTTGGTAATTGTCTAAACCTGCCCCAGACAGACTGGCACCAGACAGGCAGAGAATGTTGACAATTGGTTTTGATTGGGGTCATTAGGTTACACTCACAGTCATTCATTTGAGTCGGGCATAGTTTACGCATAGCCATAGAGCGCACCCGAGTTCGCGCACAGACCTCACATGATTTTGAGAATATACATGGGAATGGATGTGGATTTGAAATTTTAATAGAGTTTGAACATTTATATAGGCTTGTATTGGACGAGATCCAGGTCTTTTAAAAAAGTGGCCAAAAAATGAGCCATATTCCAGACGTGATTTTTAGTATTAACAAAAATAGAAAATTTATATAGGGGTGTATAGGTCGAGAGCTGGGTCTTTAAAAAAGTGGCCAAAAAAATGAGCCACTCATTTTTCTCATTTTTCCCCTATAAAAAGTGCCCTAAAAGTGCCTCTAAAACGCCGAAAGTGAGGTATCTTTGTCCTATTATATCTACTGAGGTTATGTTTTCGTGTATTGTCATTGCCATTGCCACTGAAAGTGATGCAACGACTTGTTGTATAATCAGCTGATTTCCTGTAATTACGTGTTTGTTAAACTTCGTTAAATATTACATTGCTAGCAGCATTCTTACCATAAATAATATTGTATCAGGTACAATTCGGCAAATATTTCATTTATTTTTGGACTTCCACCAACTTAATTAAGAATACGCGAGTATCAACATGAACAAGTCGGATCAACAATTAAATTGGTCAACTGATCAGCTGATCAGCTGATTAGTTGACGTTCGAAGCATTACAATTTTAATTCTTTTCTCTCAATACTTGAACCTCATTGGTTCGTTACCTGTGTGGATATGAGAAAACTATGCGGATATGAAATGAAACTATGCGGATATGAAAGTAAACAGCTGTAAAGTGAAACTTTTCAATTCTAAGAACTGGACTGAAATGGCTACTTTAAAAAACGGTCGTAGGTAAAGGTCTTATCAGGGTTTAAAAGTCAAAAGAACTTATCTTAAAATGTATTTGCAAAATAAATATTTAAATAGTTTATTTGTACACCTGAGAAGAATAAAAAACATAAATTTGAAAATTATTTAATTCAGTATCCAATAGTCAATGGTAATAAATAAATAGATTTAGTTTTATTAATTCACAGACTGTTTCCCCAGAATAATACTAACTACTGGGTGTTTTTTTAAAAACTTGCATCTTTATTTATATAAAAACCGCAATAGATAAAAATATGCAGTTTGCGGGAATCATCTATTGACGTAGGGGGCCCAATTGTTTTGAATTCAACGTTACATTCACATTCCCCCCCTTTCCCCCCTGCCCCCAACTTAATTTTTTTAAATAGCAAGGTTTCCCTTGTGACATATCAAATGAAAGAGCATGAAAAAAGAAAATTTTTGATGAAAAAAAAATGAAAATCGGTTCATAAATTTGCGAGATATTTCCCCCCCCCTCCTTCCACGGAACTTAATTTTTTTTTAATAGCAAGGTACTCCTTGTGACATATCAAATAAAAGAGCATGAAAAAAGAAAATGTTTGGTGAAATTGATTTTTTATTTGATATGTCACAAAGGCGGGTACCTTGCTATTAAAAACAAGTTATGGGTAGGGGAAAAGGGGGGGGGGATTATCTCACAAATTCATGAGCCGATTTTAAATTTTTTTCCCCAAAAATTTTCTTTTTTCATGCTCTTTCATTTGATATGTCACAAGGGATACCTTGCTTTAAAAAAAAATTAAGTTCTGGGGGGGAGGGGGGGAATATCTCACAAATTTATGAACCAATTTTCAATTTTTTTCATCAAACATTTTCTTTTTTCATGCTCTTTTATTTGATATGTCACAAGAGGTACCTTGCTATTAAAAAAAATTAAGTTAGGGGCAGGTGGGGGAAAGGGGGGTAATGTGCATGTAACTTTGAATTAAAAAAAAAGTTGTACCCCCTACGTCAATAGATGATTCCCGCCAACTGCATATTTCTATCTATTGCGGTTTTTACATAAATAAAGATGCAAGTTTAAAAAAAAACACCCTGTATATATATATGCTTGATAATTTTTTATTTATTTTATTTTATTTATTTATTAAACATAATCACATTACATCAATTCTCTTGACAGGTGATTTGTCACAAAGTCTAATACTAATACTATACTACATTTTAAAATAAAATAGCTTACAAAAGAAATAAAGCATATAATAAGCTACAAACCTATGGGAGAAGCAATATCTTTCAAATATACTCATTTTCCAGATATTCCTCTAACGAGTAAAATGCCCTCTCCAAAAGGAAATTTTTTAAAGATAGTTTAAATTTAGAGAATGAGGCAATGTTTTTAATCCCAGCGGGTAATTTATTGTAAATTTTTGGTCCCATATACTGAGGGGATAAATGAAAGATTTTAAGCCTATGTGTTTATTAAATTCTGTTGCAAAAGAGTTTCTTAAAACTTTAATTTAAAATAAAATAAAATATTCTACCTAAATTCAACCTAACCATTTTTCAAAATTAAAACGCAAAAACACAAAAATAAAGAAATGATAAACACACTCTACTTTATAATAATTAATTATATTATTGTAAAAGCTCTGACAACAATGAATCAATCAGCTGCCTTATTAATGTTCTTCCTTTTTCATAGTCTTCAATAATGGAGTCCCACTTCTTGTTCAATCAGCTGATTTCTCTTACACATGATTGGCATAGTAGTGACTGCTGGAGCCAACAACCTTGGATTGAAGGCTCATAGTCAGCTGCTTACTTTAGCGGTGTGAAGTTAATGTAGTGCTAGTGTTAGCAGTTGGCAGGCAAGTTAATGCTCCATGCTTTACTAACAGAGCATATTTACAACTTAGTTGATGGCCTGGGAAATTATAGTGTGTCTAAAAGTTTATATACAAGTTTAGTGTCATTTAGTGAGTGTTTTTAAACATTATTTGATTCTCTAAACTTGCCATCAAAGTGCTGCTAATTTCATTAAAACCTAGGTGAGTATAGTTCATTATAATATAGGTAAGTAACTTGAAGTACACTAAGGTACAACTTATAACAATCTTTGTAGGGGCTATCTAGGTTTCCAGATAAATTAGTTATTCATTGATCTCTAGTGATTTGTAGGTAATATAAAACGATTGTTATAACAGATAGATGAACATGTTTGTTATAATGTGTCATTTGAATATTGCAAACATTTTTCATAGAAACAATAACTCTTGACTAAAATTCTAAGAATAAAACTAAGTTTTAAGTTTATAAAATGGTATTTACCATATATGAATAAATACGGCAAATAAAAAGTTAAATGTTAAAAAGTTTAATTACAGTATTTATAAAAAAATATAATAAATGCATTCTCTTACGGGGACCGTTTTAAATGCTAATGATCTAGAAATACAAAATAAAAATTCTCTTACTAGGGAAACAAACAAAAATTCTACTATGCAATTGTTATTTTTTTTTATCCCATCCAAATATAAGTTTTAAATATTAATATGAGTATTTATGGAATTCAACAAAGTAAAATGAGTTTGTATAAATAATACATTGTGAATGCACTGTGGGTAACTTAAAAGTATGTACCTATACCAATTTAAATAAATTTCAATAAAATAATAGTCCTAAACTTTCCTACATATTGTTTTACTCAAGTAAATAGCAATTTAGGACATAAATCCTGTTTTTAAATCTAGAAAAGAACCTGAATTCGCACAGATGGTTTCTGTGTTGAAAGTTCATCAATGGTTCAGATTTCAAGGCAAGCAAGAAAGAGTAAGGTATAATTACGTAATGGGAACAGGAAAAAGAATGTTGCAAGCATTTGAGTAACTGTTATGTTAGTTAAACATTCCTCGATACTAAACTCTTGTCGAGTTATCTGCAAACTATCTACTTACAGTAGCTTGAAAAACTTCACAAGCTCAATAACATAGTAAACAATTTTTCTATTCCTCTAAATGTAATGTATATTAACTTATAAACAACTATATTATTAATATTATTTTTTAATCAAATTCAAAAATAAGTTTTTACAATCTCTCAAATCTCACAAAACATGTCTGCAGCTAACTGTACATATTATATGTCTGATATAAAAGTCCAAAATTTATAGTCAGTGCATTTCACTTCATTTATAATGAAAATAACAATAAATTGTGCTATAGGTAAGACAAGAATAAACTAAACATATCCCTGTAACAATACTAAGATTACATTTTTTCACAGTAAACATTTAACAAATATATTTTTCAATTGTGTATTTTTAAACATGTGTATCAGTGTAAAGATAAAATATGTTCTGTCAGCTTATCATAATTGCCAAGAGAGTTTTTTCACCACATGTTAAACGCTATTTGTTATTTCTAAACATTTAGTTATTCGTGGCTTGCCTAATAAATAACATATTTATATACAATTTAAAATTGGTCTACTGCAAAAAAAAATATTAAATTTAACACTTTGTTCAAAGCTAAAAAAAATTGTAGAAGCTCACATTGATTGAAATGATGTAGGTACATTATTGGTCAAGCTGTGAATAATTGAAAATACCACAGAAGGTGAGGATTTGACCTTCCCAATGTTTGCTTCCAGTATTGTTACATGAAATCAAAGAGAATGTCCTTGAAATACTCACTTGAAGGAGGCATGATTTTCATTATTTTAAAGGTCTTTGAACTCAGTAATGATAAGTTCAAACAAAGTCAAATAGTGCTGTCGGGGATAGTTAAAATGATTATATTTATGTATAAACATTTACCATTGGATGAAATTGGAAAAAATATTGCAAAAGTGATTGCTGTGGAGAGGGGGAGGGTAAAGGTCAAATCCAAGACAAGAATATTTTGTGTTTAAACAAAATAATGTTGTATTATGAAAAAAATGCGCAAATCATGATTGAAACAGCCTAGTTTACCTTGTGGTTGCCAGATTCTTGAAATGTGTAGATACACGCGTTCGCACGCTGGATTCCTATGTCTTTACCGTAAATTGTCATCCGACAGAAAAAATAAATATTTGTAAATAGTGTTTGTGTTAAATAGACTAATGTGACAAACTGTGCTCCTGACGATGCTACACATGTAGCGAAATGTACATCGAGCAAGATATCTACACATTTCAAGAATCTAGCAACCACAAGGTAAACTAGTTTATTAATAATTCGTTCTTGAAGCTGGAATAATACACAACTTATGAAACAGCCTATTTTGTTTAGTTTGTATGCTTAGAATTAAGAATTATAGGTCAAATTTTGTAGACATTAAATAGTGTAGCCTATGGCAAATGACAATTTTCGTAACAGAATACACTGTAAAAATGAGTGATTACATTTTTGTTCTTAATTTGAAAAAAGAAATTAATATAAATCCTTAAGTTTATTTAATGTGTATGATGTATTGCTGCATTGTCATTGGCAACAGATAAGTTTTAATGTGTGATATAAATTGCTTATACTACTTAAAATTTGATAAATCTTAACTACCTTTAAAGAATCACAAATATCTGTTCTGTCATGAATTCTTCATTTTTGTTTTCAGTGTTTCCCAAAACAACTATGATTATCTGAGGATATTTAACCGTAAATAGATATAAAGCAAGGAAAATATGACTCAAGAATTGACTTGTGAAGATGGCAAAAAGATGCCAACAGATGAGGGTGATAGTGAGTATTCATAGAATATTATTTTTATTTTTTATTATAGATTTTTTTTAAACAATGCAAAGATAAATAAGTGACAATCCAAATTGTAGTATATTAAATTATAATCAATTGGTCATCAAATTTTAGTTATTTGTTTTAACCTCCTGGGACTGTTTTAGTGAGGTAGTTATAGTTCGGCCGCTTAGAAAACGACCTGCGCGCTAATGCTAAACCAATGCTGGAGGAGGTCGCTTACTAAGCGGCCGAACTATAGTTGTGTATTCTTCCTTTCTCCAAATTCTAAAGCCAAGTTGCGTTTTCCCTTAAAACATAAAGATTATATATTTTTTTGTGAATGTTTTTTATCACAAATAAAATAAAATATAGTTTTCTTCGCAACACAAGGAGATTTTTCCTCTACTCTAGAACTCCCTTCAAAAAGCTATACAATTAACATTAGGATGTCTATGTAGTTTTGTTCATATAGTTAATCAACCAGCAACTTTCACAACTAAAAGCACATTTAAATATAAACAGTATCAGCAAACTGATGCATACTCTTTCTCACATAAACATATCAAAAGGTCTTACAATGGATAAACAGTGGGAGGAATGATATTTTATGGGAAAGATAAAAAAATGTAATATTTTTTTAACTGTAATTTTTACAGTATTGGGGGTAGTACCATTTTTTAAGAAATAAAAGGGCCTATAATACTAAATTTTAAACTAAATCGTATGTAAAAATCAGTTTTTTTAAAATTTTATTTTATGGGTTTTATAAGAAAATCACCCTTAGAATAATTGTTTCAAAAAAAAAAATAAAAATACCTGGGGTTTAGTACTCACATACAAAATCTCATCAAATCGAATCACAGGTGTTGTCTTTAGCCTTGTTCACATCGGTACACACACACACAAATATGACTTTGAAAACACTTTTTTGGGTTCTGGGGGACCAAATACGGATCAAATATAACACCCAAAACTCAAACTCGAAAATTTTTAACAAAACAATTTTTCTCCATAATACTATTTATAGGGGGAGAAATTAAACACTAATACATTTGACAAAACAAATATTTAGCCATTTCCAATTTTTTATTATTGCGGACATTTTCCATCACAATGGTAAAAAATCATCTTGTTTGCTATTTGGATTCACTGCAGTATATTTATAGTAAAGAGTGTCAATGAATGAATCAATTAAACTTCACCTTGAACATGGCCACAAGCACTAGAGAGATTAGATTTATAGTTTAAATAAAGTTATTGTTGTGCATTCAACGGAAAAGTTTCATTTCTCATGACCATTGATACTAAGGGTATGTTTTTGTTCATTTTATTTTTGCAAAAACTGTTAAAAATATTTTAAAGTTTAATATTATTATTTAAAAAATATTTTGGATTAAAATATTATTTAGCTGTAATCTGAAGTGTACACTCGTGTCCCTAATCTTGTTTAAGTTTAAATCAATGCTTGACTTTTGATAAGACTACTTAAACAATTGTATAATAGATCACAAAAAACACTCCAAGTCCCTGAATTGCGGTAGCTTATGATCCTAGTAAAACCTTATAAAATTCAGTTTCGGTAGTGATTCACATAAAAAATCTTATACCATAATTATTAAAGTAAACCAACCTTACTTAATAGGTAAAAAATATATTTTTTGTATGTTACTGGTCAAGCAAAAAATTTACACATATTTTTCTCATTGATATTAATACAGCAAACTCAATGATCATTATATTTTAATTTTGCTTGCTTCTTTAATTTTTTCTCTTTCATTTGTAAAACAAACTATATTACAGTAATAAATAGCCAAAAAGAAATATTAAAATACCTAGCTAGGCCTATATATTTATGATGATTAGTAGGTAATTAAATAAATATTCTGATTATTGATTTAAATAAATATCTATATACAACCTACCGTTTACATGAATAATAAACATTTTTCAGTGCCGGGAATGTTTAAGAAACGCTATATCCAAGGCTACATGCTCTTCTTCTTGTTCTTCGTTGCGTTTTCCCTCCGACTTAACCTGTCAGTCGCTATTGTTGCGATGACCGACAGCAAAAGTGCTAATCCAAATTTTGAGGTAAGTCTTAACAATTTTGCATTGAGCTTTAGTTATTTCAGAGTTGTTTATATAAAGTGGTTTTATGTTAAAACAGTGGTGTTCCAAGTTTACTATATATATATATCTTGCACAGAGTTCACTTAAAATTTTCAGATAGGGCTTTAAAAGTCTTTTGAATGTTACCCATCATTCTTTATATTTTTTAAAACATTTCATATAACATTAACAATGCAGTTTCCATCCTTAATATTTAAACTTCTCCAAACTTCTAAATTGAGGTCAAGAAGGTGTTGAACATCAATTGACTAGATGGATTTTGATCGTCTCGAAGAACCTTTTGCATGATAATAGCTCAATATAACGGTGGGAATTCGGTTATTCGTACAGTTAAATTGTTAAATCGAGAGTTAAATTGTTTTTGGTAGACTTAATCTAGAATGAAAATTATTGCATTTTTAAGCATCATGTTTTTTAATATTATTTCCTAAACAACACTTTTGTTCTACTTGGCTAGTTTTTTTTAATTCGATGTGATCATGTTGATTTTATTATGTCTAAACAAAAGTTTGTTCAAACAGTTCAAGCCAGAAATTTAAATAGTGGGTGTGGAACAGTCAGACTAAACTATAAAGACCAATTTAACATGTGTGGCGGGTTTTAAACAGTTTCCATGTGTTTATGTTATCACTTTCAAGGTTAATATCATCACCTATAATTTCGTTGCACTTGAGTTTCAAGGCTCTCTGGACCAATCAATCTTAAAGTTCACTTGCTAACCTAAAAAAATGTTTGATATTTAAATAAATGAATTTAAAATAGAAACCCTCGATTTATCAACAAAAACCATTAAATGTATTTATTTTTATTGAACTCATCTAGTCATTTTAATTGAATATTTATGTGTAAAAATAAATTGGTTAAATAATATTATAAGTAGAAAATTTTTGTAAAGGAAATAATTAATTTTCGATCTTCACTTGAGTCAAATCATTGAAAACTGTGAAAATCAAATTCTTGTACTTTTATAATTATTTTTTTAAATTAGTTGCGTTCATCCTCATCCCACTGTACAAAAACTTCCATTAGGAAGACGAGGTTAAGTTAAAAAAAAAATAAAAAAAAATCTGCAGTCGCCGGTCATCCACTTAGAACTTGTCCAATTTGATAGCTACACCCTCTCGTTTATACTGTGAGTTGTTTCCAAAGTCAGAAATAATTTTCCAACAAGATTATTAAGTTGGGAAGAAAGGTCCCACATAAAATCTTGTATTATAAACATTACGGTTTGATTTGTACCGAAAACTTTTCCAGGAACTGGACTGGGACTTAAAAACTCGCAGTAAAGTCCTAAGCGCTTTCTTCTGGGGATACTTGGTCATGCAGCTACCAGCGGGTAAGTTTTCTGTTGCAGAACTTACTATAGGATTTGTTTGAGATAGTTTACTCTTTAGGTTACTAATTACATTCTGTTTGAATCAATATTTTCCAGTCGGGATATTAAATATACTCAAAGAGAAGTAAGGTATAGAGAAAACTTGATTGTGGCACAACCCTGCGCTATCAGCTTTAATTAGTATATGTTATGTGTGCGCGTACGTATGCGCCAGGGAAAACATACTTGTGATGTGCAAAGAAGAGCTCAAGCGGTGAGCGCTGTGTGGAAGTTCCTATAGCACAAGGCACAGGCTCTTCCTCCAGTTTAAGCTTTGTAGAATGTGATGGCAAGAGAGGAGAGGCATGCAAGGGGGTCAGGAGAAGCGATGGTGTTGAACTTTGCCTATGATACCATAGAATTGTGCTATACCCCACTTAAGCGCACCATTGAATATTTCCACTGTACCTTCCTTTTCTGTTAAATACTGCGTAGTAAAACCGTAGACTACAACCATTGCCTTTTCATGGTAGAACTCTTCAACAAATATACTTCACTTGTTGAAAAATCCAAAGCCTTTTATAATGTGTTTCATCTTCGTTTACGGCTGAAGCATGTAAACATACATGATACTAATATAAAAAGTTGTAAGTCGGATAATAATGAATGTCCAATCTAGTTTTGCAAAATTGCAATGTCTCTGAAACGTCTTTAAGTATTTTATTCTATCATTGTGCTTACATCTAGCGACAAATTCCAAATAAACATATGTTCTTGCAGGACAGTTAGGACAGATGTTCAGTGTGAAGCAGCTGTTGCTAGTAGCCAGCGGTTTGTGCGCCTGTCTCACGTTGCTTACCCCGGTGGCCGCTACCAAAGGGGGATGGTTCCTGGTCTGTCTACTGAGGGGGCTGCAGGGGCTGTGTCAGGTAAGGGTTATTTTAAGGGAGGGGGGGGGGAAACAGTAAGTAACTGTATTTTTAATAATGCAGGTAAAGGTCTAAATAAAGGAAAAGGTCTAGGTTTTTAGGATTTTTGTGAGAATCTTAAATGGGAAAGAGTCCAAACTGGCACAGAAACTCAAAGCATACTTTATGCTACACAGAAAACATTGGAATATTTAAACTACTGCTTTATGTGATTTTTCATGTATAAAACTAATAAAGAATTGTTATTGGTCCACTTTTTGTAGTTTTTGAATGTACATTTTACATTACATGACTAAAAAAATCATTATATTAAAATACACCGTGATGCTTGGTATTAATCTTGTATACCAATAATCCGATAATGAACCTATTGATGGAGTTAGAAAGCGACCTGATTTGCAATCAACCTTAATGATAAAACCTGTCATCAATTAAACTGATCCATCAATCAATTCACATCTTCACAGACCATCTGTTTGTTAATTAAACCATGAATTGAAGATATTTTACTAATTAGTAATGAATCGTTGTTGATAATAATTATGAATAAAGTCTCATTGAAGTTATGTAGGTATTGTTGTAACATCCTTAAATAATTATTTTATCTGAATCCCAAATGATGATAGGAAAATGGAATATGATAACATTTTTAAGCCAACATCAGGGATGAAAACAAATCATTTTACTGTAAGTAAGTTTAAAATTTATGAACTTTTATGTAACTGAATTTTTTTTCTTTTTTTTAATTTTTAGACAAGACTTAATGGCACAAGTGAAGCATAGCTATACTTACTAAAACAGCTCTATAACTGAAACAGTACTTTCTGCTTTTAATTTGTTTGGTTAAACCATAGACAAATACAATAAATATAGACCGTCAGCTGTGCTGCGGTTAGCATTGGTTCTGGCATCCACCACTAGGATTACCGTGTAGTTACGGTGCACACTGCTGCAGCGTCTGCTGGTAGTATATACGGTGAGGAGCCGACGACAGCAACGAATCGAACACCAAGCATGCTCTAGCGGCACATCGCGTAACCTTCCTTTGACAGTCTATATTTATTCTATTTGTCTATGGTTAAACACAGTGATTCATTTTACTTAATTCAGATACTTTTTAAGGAGTTTATGCTCTACTACTCACCGTGGTATTTGATTTATACTACTCTTATAGTAATATATTCTTTTTACAGGGATTTTATGTCCCTCTAACATATACAGTGACATCAAAATGGGTTCCTCTGCATGAAAGAAATCGCTTCGTTGGCTTTGCTCTAAATGGTGAGTGTGTGAACTTAACAGTTTTATTCAGTTTATTTATTTTAAATTAATAACTATCGATAACATAAAATAAAAGGCATAGGTAGCCTTATAACTATAAAACTAAACCTTGTTCATCATGTATAAATTCTAATGCCTTGTATATTATTGCAGAATTTTGTATGTTTAAGGGAGAATTAGTATACTATTTTTCCCGATCAATAATTTGTATACAATTCATAATGCTGGGCTAAATCAAAATTTCCTAATTTGATATGTTATGCTAATTTGATATGATATGCTTCCCTTTTTAGTAAAAACCATGGGTGGGTCCAGAGATAAAATTTGGGGGAACACTGGGTTTGGAAGGTATAAAATACCTCTGGGCCCCAAACATTTTTAAAATTTGTATACCCATATAGAAGAGGTTTTGAAGCATCCAATTGATTCGCGAAGTTATGCAATGTGTTATTATTATTTATTAGTTAGAAAATAAAATATCTCATAGTTACTTTTTGTATTTGGGGGGGGGGGGCGGATTTCCTCCTTTCCTCTCCAAGGATATTACGTTTATGAAAAATTTTCATTGCTTGGTTTTTAATTTTTAATTTTGGTTTAAATCTTTATTTTGAGTTCAATTTGATAACAGCAAACACCAACCAATCAAATTTAATTCCTGATGACTAAAAATAGCCAGAATTGAGATTTAACCGACTTCTTTCTGCATTCTTTGTTGAGGTCCACAAATGATTTAACTAAATTTTTACAGGGGAGATAACACAATATGTGGATAGTGGAAGTAACTTCTTCTTGGGTCTTATACTCATCTTATCATTTAAATCCTAATTGAGTTAATCTAATCTACAAGCTAACGTGTATCAAAACTGGAACTAATTGTTTAAAAGTTTATCTTATTGTACATTCAGCACTTTGTGCCAAAGGGCTGAATATACGAGTAAAATTTAAATATACAAGTACCGGTATTTAAAATCAGCACCGAGCCTGAATGATTTGACAATTTTGACTCAATAAGGAGTAAGGACAATGTAAGTTTATAAACATTCAAAATTAAATTACCTTTATCAAGACACTAATTGAAATATTGAATATGGTAAATGTAAAACCCTATTTCTAACACTTGCGTCATATAATTGTTTATCTTTTTACTCCAGTATTGAAGCAATGACTGTGATAAAATAGTTTACATATATTTTTGTTGACTGTTGTCAATGCTCAAATCATAATTGTAGAAAACTAATGTTGGATGATCGTTACTTTCCTCCAGGAGGGACCATCGGGGCCGTTGTCTCTCTGTCAGTCTCTGGTATTCTGGCCAGCAGCGGCGGAGGTTGGCCTAGTGTATTTTATGTCTCAGGTAGGAAAATACATTTTGTATTTAATTTACTTAAAACCCATGAGCGTAAGTCAAGTCATTGAGGATGGCTTAGGGATGAGTGAAATGACTGAAATGTTCCAACAATCATCACTTTTTATATCTTCTCTAATCTTAACGTTTTCTGTCACAGGATGTTTCTACTGTATGCTTGGTTTTTTTTACTTAAATTGAGGAAAGTTGAGGAAAGCCTCCTTTGTATATCCAAAATCTTGTCTTTTTGACAACCAGTTTCATAAAAAGTGGTGGATTGACTTAGGATACTAACTATAAGTTACTTCTCATTATAAAATCTGTAGCCTCTATTGATGTATGTTTCATGTCCAGTTAGGCTTATTTGCAAAGTTGTTTTAAAATACTAATCACCATATATTTATTTGTTGCCTCTCTTGAGTTGTAGCGTTGTAAATTACCAAACATACATTTTGCCAGCTTGTGTGGCGTCTTCAGGGATCTTCTTTTACCCTCTCACTATAGTCCATTCACAAAATTTAGGTAGTTTAAGGGGAAGTTCCCCCACCACTTTGTTTTGCTCAATGTATGTTACTGTTGATTGGCGTTTTGACAAACCTCAGCTGTTGAGATGTTGTTTTTAAGGTAGGATCAAGGGATGGGGATAGATTTATTCCAAAAAACTGCCTAAATTTTGTGAAAGGAGTAACATTAACATGAACTACAATATTAATTTTTACAATTATTTACACACCCCCATTGTCACTATCGCAGGGTTTTTGACAGTTGTGTTTCCGTTGTGGCAGGCGTGGTGGGTTTGCTCTGGACGTGTCTGTGGTGGTGGTTTGGTGCGGACAGTCCGTCTACTCACCCCACCATCTCGCCTGGGGAGAAAGAATACATCCTCACGGCACTCGCTAACTCAGGACAGAATCAGGTCAGTCTCAAAATGTGATAAGAATCCCAAGTGTAAAACCAACATCCCTCTTGTTAGATATAGAAACTGGTTTTAGAAGTAGAAATGAAGCAGGAGCAAAGACTTGTTTGCAGCGGAAGTGGGATTAGAGTAATGTAGGTTAAAGGTACATGATCATGTAGTTTGAGGGGTTACTGCAGACATTTTCCATCACAATAAGTTATAAACGAGATTTCACAATGTTTTGGGATCTAAATCTAATCCTGACCTCAGGTTATTAAGTACATAAAACATCACAAACCCATCCAAAGCCATCATGATCATGTCCAGTCTAAATACAGATTCTTGGATTAACCACAGCCTTGTATTGAGAGATTGTTTTCCCCTTGGGTCAGTTCTTTTCATGGTCCTGGATGCTTCAGAATGTACTATGTTTTATAATGTTTGTGAATGGGAGGATAAAATTTTTTCTTGCTTCCCTATGAAACGAGGAAATATAGGTCTTAATTAATTGATTATGATGGAAGATGAGTGCTAAGTTCTGCAATAAAATACAAATTAATTGATGCTTTAGCAGCATTTAGACAATCACCTCAACAATGAAGATAGTTATCTCACTCTCACACTACTCTAGTCTAAGTCTAGTCCAGTTCGCGATATTTTGGATTCGATTAATTCAATATTTCATAAGCCTTTGATTATAACAAATAGCTTATTCCCTTCATGGGATATTTGCTCAAACAAAAACTCAATTACAGTAATGAAAAAACAACATTGATTTTTTTATGGTTGGCCAAAAGCATCAGCTCCCTTTCGATGCTCATCCTTACTTGTTAGTTGGTCTAGTCATAGCTAACATCAGTTCAGCTCCTGTGTCGTAGGACCTGCGGACTCCGTGGAAGGCAATCTTGACCTCCGTCCCCGTCTGGGCTCTGATAGGAGTGACAATCTGCAATGGTTGGGGGTTCGCCATCATACTGACCCAGCTGCCTGCGTACATCAACTCTGTGCTGGGCTTCCAGATCCAAGAGGTGAATTAGATAGTTGTAAGGTTGAAGATACAAAAAATAGAAGTTGTTGAGTGTAATTGGGCGACTAAAGGGAATACGGATGTAGTGAAGACTTTGGTGTCCAGCAAAAATTTGTGTATCTAGCAAAAACTTGGGAATGTATTGAGAAGTTGGTTGTCAAGCGAAAACTTTCTTATCTAGCAAGAATAACTTTAGTATCAAAAAGAACCTTGGGTAATTAGCAGTAGCTTGAGTATCAGGGGTGAGTCGGTGGCTCAGTTGGTAGTGCCACGAACTTCGGGCCCAAGGCAGCGATGTCGTGGGTTCGAATCCTGGTACCTGTAGGTCCCTTAGTTGTTGCCATTGGCTGCATGGGCTATTAATTAACAGCTGTGTCTAAGGAATATGTCGGCCTTAGTTACGAACATGACTACAAGATCGCGCCACTCATACTACACTCATCTCCATTCATTTGGCTTAAAATACCTACTTTTGTATGGTCGCCATTTCAAAGTAAAGTAAAGTATCTGCCACTACTTTTTATCCGTAAACTTCACCCTTGTACTGTACCGACTCACCCCTTGCTATGCTGGATATGCTCCATAGCCTTCCTGGGCGGGAAAGTACAAAGTTAAAAGAGACTGCCAACCTCAAAAATATAACAAATTAATCCAGCCAAAAACTTGGGAATGTATTGAGAACTTAGGTGTATTCATATTGCAAAATCTTGGGTATGAGCAGGAACTTCAGTATCTAGCAAGAACTTAAATATCTATCTTACTGTACTATTTTCTTTTAACTTTTACCCTAAGCCCTAAACACAAGTCTTGTACAAACTAAGTCATATTCTGGCTATGCATTTTTATAGTATTAATTTCTTTCATAAAAGTGCATATTTTTCATTTTGCCATTTTAGAACGGATTTTTATCAGCGCTTCCGTACCTCAGTCTATGGATATTCTCCTTCCCTGTGTGTTGGTTTGCTGATTTCCTCACCAAGAAGAAAGTCTTTTCAACCGTTGTTATTCGCAAACTCTTCACGACCATATGTAAGTTATGCAAAACTAAAGACAAACTGCTTTTTGGGGATACAAACAGTAACTGCTTCAAAATGCTATTACTCTTTGTGCGTAAAATAATAAAAAAAAGAACTTACTTGTACAATTTCACAGGCACAATGAAAAAATGACAAAAATTACAAAATTTAAACAAAGTGTTTTTGTGGACATACTCAGAGGTGTCAACAATTAACAAGGAATCCACCAATCACGCAAACTTCCTCCCAAGCCGTCCAAAAAATAAGTGGGGCTCCCCCTGTAGATCAATCAAAATTTACTTTTAAACTCCCCAACTTGGGAGGCTATTTGCGCATACCTTTCTCAGCACGTGAATAATGGTCAAAAAGTAATAAAAAATATCAGAAGTTTTTAAAATTTGGAATTATAAATGTTGGACCAACGATTTTCATGATAAGCCAGTCAAATACTGCATTTTTATATAACATTTCAGTTTAAAGAGATCCACAGGCTGATAATGAGAACATCTTTACTATTTAACTCACAAACTTTTGTCCACTGCTAGAAAAAACCACAAACAATGTCGTACAGACTTATTTTCCTATTCTCCGTCAAGGTCTGGTCGGAGGAGCTGTGATGGTCCTGTCTCTCTGCCTTGTGGATCGTAACGCCGTGGCGGCCATGACGCTCATCACCATCGGTATCACCTTCACTGCCTTCATGTTCAGCGGGTACAACATCAACCATCTGGACCTTAGCCCCAACTTTGCCGGAGTGCTGATGGGACTCTGCAACGGCCTGGAGAATGTCAGCACTATACTTGCTCCGCTCAGCGTCGGCTGGGTTGTCTCTGATCCGGTCAGTGTTCGCTCGTAAATAATTTGATCAGGATTAGTGCTTTTTATGTCCCACCTTCACATTCTAGGTCGCTAGGCACAAGCCTGGAACCTATTTCAAATTACTAGGAGTAGAGGGTCGTGGCATTATCACTTGGATAAAATCCAACAAGTATTTGCCGGATTTTAACCTACTACCTGGAAACTAAAACATCACGCTCTGCCAGACCAGTTGCTCTCTTAGTGCTTTCAGTTTGACATAGCTTGGTAATACAACAAGTCTGAGTCTACACTTGTTGATAATACAGCTTTAAACTGAAAGGTAGTTTTTTTATTTTTTTATTTACAAAACTTCAGAGGGCTAATAAAAGTTAGTAACTCACCCTCACAGTCAATTTAAAATGGGCACAAAATATCACAATCACAGCTTATTACAAGACTATTTAGTTAATACATCATTGACATCAATTAAGAAGCTTCAGCTTCAGGTGGGATGATAAGTCTCTTCCATATTTGTTTCTCTAAATAAATCTTCTCACACTTGCTGTTTGTGCCTTCCGTTCAGCTCCAATCCTCTGACGTGTTGCAATCTTTTTCAACGTCTTTTGATTTTTTCTTTCCTATAGTTTCTCTCTTGAGCCAAATTTCTCTTCCTCCATCCATCCTTTTTACATGACTAAAGCATCCAGTCTGCTACATCAAGTATAGGCAACACATTTGTAACTTATTGTAAAACATTTTGAGTAATGTTCTTGTTTGAAATTTGTTTTAACCCCAAATTCAGTATTATAAAAATATATTCCTCTGTGTTTAGACATCTGTCGCACAGTGGCGGTGGGTGTTCATCATAACAGCAGCCCTCGCTTGCATCGGAAATGCCATCTTTGTGTTCTTCGGAAGTGCGGACGTCCAGCCTTGGAACTATCCTGATTCTAGTAGTCGTCAAACCAAGACAAGCAACAGTACAACTGAAAAATACTGAAACTTTTCTGCTCTCTGACCACAAACAGTTTTAATTCTTAAACAACTGTAATTAACACAGGACAGTGTTGAAAGAAAAAAATAATTTTAACTTATCAGCTAAGATTTTTCAAGTTGGGGATAAAATGATTTTCAAGATTTTAAAAAACCTACCCTAAGTTATAAAAATTAAATTCAGATGCCCTGATACTGAATTATGGAAAATTGTCTCTAAAGTTCATGGATCACGTAAAGACATGTTACTTGTTTCAGTATACGTACTTAATGTTTGAAAATATGATTTCAGGGGAAACAAAAAGTGTTCCTGCACAACAATAAGAGGCGGTTCACGAGTACGGGGTTTCGTGGCCCGCGGTTATCGTTGATCTCGACGGTCAAAAAATGGGTTCACGACATAGAGCGTTAGCCGAGATCAAGCTTAGCCGAGACCAACGCTGGCCGTTGCTCAAGAGCAGGGATTAACTGGGAATTTTCGTTGGGAGGTTGGCAACAGCCACCTGCTGCGCCGCTGCTCGCGGTCGACGAGCCCCAAAACAAGAGGATGACATTGCGTCATAATGATTGGTTCATAAATTATTATAATTAAACAGAGTATTTACTGATATCGTATAAAAGGTTGTGGACTTGCACTTGAATTCATTTTATACGCTCTTTTCAAAGATTTATGAATATCTTTTATGTATCAGTAATTTGTATAAAAAATAAATTTTTAGCAACAACTGGCTATTATAGGAGCAGAGATGCCTTCATACGTATACAGTAATAAACGTAAATATAAAATGGCAAACCTACAATAACATTTTATGACACCAATATCTTTTAAATCGGTTCACAATTGGGGCTACAAACAGCAGGCCTAAGAACTAAGCCCCTAAGAACATTTGCGCGTGCCAGACGGGCAGAGCGCAGCCCTAAGCATGAGAAAACAGGTTATAATTTTAAAAAAATATTTTGTTGTGATACAACGTTTTGTATATTTAACTATATAATTTATCTTTTACCTCAGCAAATTGAAGCAATTTATTGTAAATCCCGATATGACAAATATTAAGACATTATCAGATGAAAAGGTCTTTCTTTAACAAATCTTAAATCATAAACATAATAATATAAAAATATAATTTAAAACATATGAAATAAAACTTGGATACTTAAATAACACGGAACAAAAATTGAACTAATTTTATACAATAAAAAATCTTAGACAAACCTAACAGTGTTTGATGGAACCATTTTTATTTTGATATTATTCAGCTGAAATAAAAGGATTCAAAATTGCTAAAATAAATATAAAGAATTTACAAAATAAGATTCGATTGCAATTTAAATTTATATGAATATGTTAAGCTATTAGTTATATTTTTACTTAGTAATAATTAATCAAAATGCCTCAACAGTTACTTTTTACGATGTTTTGCATGTTTTCGGCTATCAGTAGTAAAAAAATTAAAAAAATAAATATCATGTTGAGGGTAATGAAATTGTTCGGAATTTAATGGCGAAACCGAATATAACATTCTTTTTGCTAACAAAAAAACAATAAACGAGCAAATGAGATAATCCCGACATGATGTCACCTTAACCCTGCCCCCTAGCAGGGTTAAGTTGAAGACCAAAACCATTGTTATTTACGCTCGAGATTATCCAGTTTGCGCTAGACCATGACTCGTGAACCCGACATTTAGCCCGGGGTTTTCTCTAATTGAACCCGTGAAGCCGACTTTTTGCGCTCGGGTTTATCCCTGTCATAATTGGGTGAAGTTTATCTGTCTGCGCTCGAGCGCGGGTAACCTCGTACTCGTGAAGCCGATTTCCAAGACGCGGCGCAAAAAACCGGCTATAACTGGATTTTGCGCTCGAAATAAGGATAACCCGTGACTCGTGAACCGCCTCTAAGTGACTTTAGATGTGTATAGCTCATAGTTATTTCTTTTCTTGCTAGCTCTATCGAAGCCAAAATTGGTTTTAGGTATATTCTCTCAGCCATCTCTGCTAGCTACAACCTTAAAACAACCAGATCTAAAACCAGGGGTTTAAATGAAGCGGGGAAGGGGATTCGTAACGGAAAAAACAGGAAAACTTGGACTATTTTGAAGGATTGCATTATGAAAACACTTTAGACCGTTTAAAATCTTGCACAATATAAGGCTCATTTACCCTTTTTTATAAAAGAACCTCAAAGAAAACATTATTTAAAAAAGTTATCATTAGTCTTGCCTTCTAACACAATATTGTGTTATATGAGTTTATTAATAATGGTAAAAATAACAAAAAAAATCATTATTGAAAAAATGCTCCTCTAATTGATACGTTGATTAACGAGAATGCATTGTTTTAGGGACTTATTTTTATTGGATAACTCATGTGCTAAAATACGAGATTATAACTTAGTCACAGGTAGCAATATTGTGTTGTATATTAAAATAAAAGCCTACATTCTTTCTGCCTAACCCTGTATTTTTTTACAAACATTTTAAGTTAGAATACTCATTAAGATCGACAACTTCTGGTTACAGTATTTACTAAAACTTATGTAAATAATTTATTTGTATATATTATAATTTTTGGGTCAAAAGTATGTGTATTTTGAAGTATATAAGCAGTATTAAGCTTTAATCTATTTTAATTTGAAATAAGTTTCTTGTCTGTGATTTACTGTTTAATTAGTTTTTGGTGCTGAAATATCTAAAATGTAAACTTTTATATTAAACACATAAAACTACTTTTGTACAGGTTTCCCTTCCTTGCCTCATCTGTTGTCAAAAATGTTATTACTCTATTCACAGAATCGTACATGAATATTGTAATTATTATTTAATAACATTATTGCATTAGTAGTATAACGTACATGAAAAAGATGATTGATCGATTTATTAACAGCAATATAACAGGTGTACTGTTTTTTTACGATTTACAACCAATTGATTGGAAATTTTTTCTTAACTGTACAAGTTATCTGGTACTACTGAGGTTAGGAAATGAAGCAGTTAAGTCTGTGACAATAAAGGCATGTTTTCCTAGCTGCCAATTTCAAATGCGGAATCGTGAGTCTTGTGAATCTTTTAGGCACTTCATTTTCCCGCACATGTTAAAGAACGCAAGGCTTAGAGCAAAGGGAAGTAGGTGCTTTGGAACCATTTGGATAAAATTATAACAATGCCCTGACAGAAGCTAATGCTTGATATACAGGGTGTTTCCAAATTGGTCATATTTTGTGGAGTTGATCCTTGAGCTGAGACAAACATAAAATACCGTACAAGTATGGGTCTAAAATTCCTAGATTTCTTTCTGTCAGCCTGTTTGTGATTTTTAAAAACTATTTTACATATTGGACATTTTTAACATAGAAATTTCAAAATTATCATAAATGTGTAGTGGTAAAAAGAGCTTAAAACATTTTGTTCCTATCACAAGCAATTACGATATGGCGGCCATTTAAAATCTTTAATGCTAAATTTCTTGAAAACAAACTGTAAATATTAATAAAATTGTTATTATGATCAAAATGATTGAGAATTTATATCAAAATGAAATGAGACCTTGTTTGTTTCGGATGACAAACAACTGTGTTATGAGTTTCTGTCCACATTCGGTTGCGCAAATTAATAGGACCTAACTTAAGAGCAGTATCAACAGACAGAAATCTAGGCATCTTAGACGCATACTTTGTTAAAATTGAATCAACTATTCTTTAATAACACTCACACAATAATAACTTTTATTTACTTTTTTATCATAACAAAACTAGATATATAACATATGATTTTATAAAACAGGTAATAAGTAAATTGGATGATGTTGTAACTCCAACACACCCTCTCAACATCATGCCTAGTAAAGTCCTAGGTAAAAGAGTGATCTTTTAAACACTTGCCCTAGAAGTGGCTTTGTTAAAAGGTCCGCTTGATTATTTTCACTTGGACAGTATTCCAGAAATACTTTGTTCTTACTTATCATTTCTCGGACGTAATGTTTTCGAATATCTAAATGTTTTATTCTAGCACTTATCTTTTCATTTTCAATAAACTTGATACAGCTCTGATTGTCTTCAAATATTACTGTAGGATTTTCTTGGGGGAAGCCCATATCTTTCAACAATAGTCTTAACCACACTACTTCTTGAGTGGCTATGCTTGCGGCCATGAATTCAGCTTCTGTTGAAGAAAGAGTGACATTGGTCTGTTTTTTGCTAATCCAGTTTATAGTGCTGTTTCCTAACTTGTACATCATTCCGCTGATTGATTTTCTATCTGCTAAATCACCCCCCCAATCAGCATCTACATAGCATGACAATTTCAATTCTTTTTCCACCCCTAATTTTAATTTCTTGTCAATGGTACTTTTCAGATATCTTATTATTCGCTTTACAGCATTCCAATCACTTTGGGTGGGTTTTTCAACTCTTCTAGCTAGAATTCCAACAGCTGACAAAATATCCGGTCTTGATGTCACTGCAAGATAAAGAAGTGATCCTATTGCCTTCCTGTACATTTTGTTATCTGGCAGATCTGGTGACATAGCTGTTGAGTTGATAAATCCAACTTCCATTGGTGTTCTTGCTGGTTTACTGTTTTCCAGTCCATGTTCAATTATGACTTTATTTATTTTTCTTCTTTGGTGAATGTAAAAGTCTCCATCCATCTTATCAATTTCAACTCCTAAGTAGTTGTGAACAACTCCTAAGTCTTTCATTTCAAAGCATTGTGTCAGTTTTTGAAATGTTTTCTTGACATTTTCAATTGATCCAACACACAAAATGTCATCAACATGAACCACTACATATGTATAATTTCCATCAGTATTACTCGTATATAAACAAGGGTCAGAATTGCTTTTTTCAAATCCCATGCTCATCATTGTTGTATTCAGTGTTTCATTCCAGGCCCGAGCTGCTTGTTTTAGCCCATAAATTGATTTCTTCAATTTATAAACTTTATCTTCATTATCAGATTTCACAAAACCTTCGGCCTGTTGCATATATATTTCTTCTTCTAACTTTCCATTTAAAAAGGCTGTTTTTACATCAAAATGATGCACAGTCAGATCTTTTGTCGCTGCTATGGTTAGTAAAATTCTTACTGTTGTTGAGTTAACAACAGGAGCAAATATTTCATCATAGTCTTCTCCATATTTCTGTGAGTAACCTTTGGCTACTAAACGTGCCTTATAGCGCTCAACCATACCGTCATCTCCATACTTTGCTTTAAATATCCATTTACATCCAACTGCTGTTTTCTGTGGAGGTAAATCTACAAGTTCCCATGTATCATTTTTTAATAAGGCTTCCATTTCTTCTTGAGCTGCTACAACCCATTGTTTTTTCTCAGGTTCAGACAATTTCTCCAATTGTTTCCAAGATTTTGGTTCAATCACATTTCCTTGAGCTATTAATGATAGTCTGTTAGGAGGAACACCTTTTGTTTTTCTTTCAGATTTTCTTACTTTCAAGTTAATATCATTGTTCTGATGATCATCTCCATTATTATCCCCATCAATCATATATGGCTCGTCATGTTCAATCTCTTCCATTTCATTTGACATATGTTCTTTAGTTTCATTTGTTGATGTTTGCCTATCATCAAGTACATTTTTCTCATCAGTACCTTTTGGTTGATCAACTTGAACACTTCTTTGATTTTCTTCGACCTTTTCATGTCTTTGGAGTAAACTGTCTACAGGCAATACCCTAAAGCTCGAATTAGTATGATTTGCATCGACATGTGGAAAGGAAGATGTGTCAAAAACTACATCTCGAGTTGTAATGATTTTCCTATCTTCGGGTAACCACATCCTCCAGCCCTTTGATACATCTGAGTAACCAACAAATATCCCTTCTTTTGCTCTTGATTGAAACTTGTCATTTGTCTTGTCTAGGATAAAACCTTTACAACCAAACTTTTTTAGATATGAAACATTTGGAATTTTCCTATACCATCTATGATATGGTAATACACCATCAATTGCATCTGATGGGCATCTATTCCTAACATGAGCTGCTGTTGCAACTGCCTCTGCCCAAAACGTTTGAGGAAGATTTGCTTCAATGAGCAAACATCTTGCCATGTCGTTTAATGTACGATTCATCCGTTCAGCCACTCCGTTTTGTTGAGGCGTTCCGCTACATGTTAATCTTCTCTGAATACCATTACAATTCAAAAATCCATCGAACTCTCT